TTAAGTGGACAAATCCTAAAGCGACTACATTTTTCTATTAAAATTAGTCTCTAAAATAAAGAAGGAAAATCCTAATTAATTACGAGCTTAAAAATAATAACACATAACATACTAATTACTAGATTAAGACAAATATTAATAGAAAGGAATTTTACTAAAAATAAATTAAAAATATTTCGAAATTGTAAAAAATTTACGAAGTTCGACAATTAAAAATCAAAAGATCCTGATTATAGCTAACTTAAAGCTTACATTGTTATAAAAAAAACTATTGAAATTAGTTTTTCAAAACCATTTAAAACTAGATTTAACCATAATTACTAAAGCTTATTAAAAAGTTTATTAAACTTAAATGTTGACTCATCTTGCTCAAACTCGCGCCTAATGGATTAATGCTCTTAGCCTTGCAACGTTGAATCACCCATTAAAACATCACTCAGTTTGTTTTCTTAAAAAATGAAAATATTTTGTAAAAAAAAATATTTTTTTTATTTTTTACAAATTTTTTTTTTCAAGTTTTTTTTTTTCAAAAAAAAAACTGAATAAATGACGAAAAAAATAAAATAATAATAATAAAAAAAATGAAAATATTTGTAAGCCTGCAGATTCTACAAAATTATTGGCCTATTATGTTTGCCTAATATTTGCGAGCCTTTGTTATTAACAAAATTTAAAGATAGAAAGAAAACTCAAATTGCTTCTATTTCAAAATTTGCAAATTTAAATCTAGAGTTACTAACCTTCCCTCAAATTAAGTCGGTTTCCCGTATTGAATATTTACTAACGATTTGAATGCGATTTTAAGCTAAAAATTTAACAAAGCCGAAACTAATACTTATGGTGTTCATACTGACACCCATCCACTAGTCCCGCAGTTTAATACTTCACATAATAAATACTTCTACCATCTACATAACATGAGACACATAATGAATATTTAACTAAAAATGCGAATATTCTATTAAAAAAAACTTAAATCTTCCGGCCATTTTATTTCATCTTCAATACATATGTTGAAATGATTCAGAGTAGTGTACCTGGTATTTGAATACAAAGAAAGGAAGAATAGGATCAGCAGCAGTAGCAACAGCGCGACAACAACAAACAATCAACAGTCAGAAAACCCAGTAGTAGACTTGAAAACCGAACAGAAATTCCAGCAACCACCCAATAAAGCAATAACAAAGGACCAACAGTTAACTCAAGAAACCAATAGAAAATCCCGGAAGCAAACAGTAGGCAGAAATCACACTCAGAAATATACGGAAAATAGTATTCAGATATTTTAGAAATCCTCTTCTTCAAGATTAAAAGTATATTCTTATCTCCTCTTTAGTTTTGAAATTTTTTATCTCTCCCAAAAAATTCTCCTCCTATTAAGTGTCAAATGAGTCTCTTATATATCCAAGCAAGACCCAATCCTTCCACTATGTGCACCCTTTAACTTTTATTATTACTCACACTTTTACTTTAGTAAAAGTAGTCAACGTGGGCCCTCCGTGTTCCCTCTTTTTGAAAAGTAGTCAAAGTGGGCCCTCATGTTCCCTCTTTTTGCAAAGTAGACATCATTACGCGCCTTTTCCTTTTTGCTTTTATCATTATGTCTGGTCCTCACCATAATTAAATAATCCGTAATTGGTTAATTCCCGTTTTACCCCTAAAACTACTGTTACGCCCCGATTCAAAATCTGTTTAACTTCAAAATTATCTAAGAACCTAAAATTAAATTACCAGCTATAACCAATCCTTAATCCAGTTCAATCAACGAATTCCAACTTAAACTATGAACAACGAATCAACAATCGGAATTATTTTGACTGAACGATATTTTTTAACAACACATATATTTGCATATTCAACAATATTAACAAACAAATATATTCAAATTAAACAAAATAAATGAACAGATTCAAATCACTAAAACTCAACTAATCAATTAATCTTCAAATTAAATCCAACAATATTATAACAAAGATTCATGATTCAAACAAAATCAAAAATTACAAACCAAAACATAAACTCACATTAATTCACTAGATTAAAACGAACTTCAAACAATCAATAAACACGAATTAAATCTAAATTAAACAACAAAGAACGGATTCAAGCGATTAAACTAACATATTTCTATATTACAACTTAATTCTTTTAAACGAATAAAATAAACCGAAGAAGAAATAATTGATTGAATTTCAACTTGAATCTAACCATATTAAAATTAAACTAACAATTTCTTTTACAAAAATAAATAAAAACACATGAAACAAACCAAAATAAGTAATTAAATTTCAATTGATTATAACAACATTAAAAATTAAACTAACAATTTCTTTTACAAAAACAAATAAAACACATGAAATAAACTGAAAAACAATTAATTAAATTTCAATTCGAATCTAACAACATTAAAATCAAACTAACAATTTCTTTTATAAATTAAACTAAAATTAAGCTAACAATTTCTTTTACATACTATCAATTTCAATTTGAATCTATCAACATTAAAATTAAACCAACAATTTTCTTTTTGAATCTCACAACATTAAAATTAAACTAACAATTTCTTTTACAAATTAAACTAAAATTAAGCTAACAAATTCTTTTACATACTAACAATTTCAACTTGAATTTAACAACATTAGAATTAAACTAACAATTTTCTTTTTGAATCTAACAACATTAAAATTAAACTAACAATTTCTTTTTACAAAAATAAATAAAAGCACATGAAATAAACTGAAAAACTAATTAATCAAAGTTCCATTTAAATCTGAAAATTAAATCAACAAAACATATGAACAAACTAGAAAATTAATTCAACAATAGACACGAACAAAACAAGAATCGAACATTTATCGATTTTAGATCCGAGAATATCAAAACAAAAATATGGGCAACATGAAACTCAAATCTACTAACCGGATCGAAGCGACGACGAACTCCAACGGAAAGTAGTTTGGTTGTTTGGAAAAGGACGGAGAAGGAAGCATGGCAGCAACGCGAACAATGAAGAAACGCAACAGCAACAATGACATGATCTTGGAGAAGAAGAATCCAACGTGATCTTGGAGGATAAGGAGCGCGGGCAGCAGCAAATGGACAGTGAAGAACGCAGCATCAGTCCGAAGCTAGATGGTCCTCTTGTTTAGGTGTCGTTTGGTGGTTGTCCATGGCAGCGTGGCAGCAGCCATGGCTGGAGCAACTCGCCGG